CCCCAAAACCCCAAAACCCCAAAACCCCAAAACCCCTGAAGACGAAATATAATTGAAATAAACCTCAGCATGAATTCAGACGTAAAACTTGGCTTCTGATGTGTATAGGATAGCTCTATATTTACCACTCCTGACCTACATGAGCTATGGGAGGACATTACAACACCGGTTGGCCTAACACATCCTGATGTGTTAGCCACAACTAAGAACCTGGCCAATCCAAAATCTGATAAGAATGAAGAGCTGAGCCCAAGGGCTCAAAAGCTTAAGAAGAGGATTCTTGAAATCCAGAGGCTGAACAAACGTTGTGATGAGTTTCAAAGAGATAAATAAAAGTATAACATTTTTTCTAAAACTTTTAGGCCTTGAAAGAACAATTTATGGACTGAAAGAGAAAATCCGTGCAATTCATGAGCAGCATAATCGCGAGAGACGTACACTCAAGAAAGAGATCAGGGAGGAGCTTCTCTTGGAATTTGCTAGAGAAATGGCAAAAGTTGAAGGTAAATCCCTCCTTATATTGAACACTAGATTCTTAAAATATGAATAATTTTACCGTTTTTTAGATCAATTCAAAGATGAAATTAAGCATTTGACTCACGAATGGTATATTGAGAAAAGCACTAGCGATCGGAAGAACACTATTGTCTCTAAACTCTGTAAGATACTGGTTCAAACAGAAATGACATTAACAAACTTCTCCTTAAAAGTTCGGAGCAACTTGGATGACACCTTAGGTCTCAATGATTTTTGGGATTCTGGCTTTGACCCTGAGCCAAAGAAGATATTCCCCAAGAAGAAGGTGGAAAAGAGCAAACTTGAGGAAAAAGTCACTGAGCTTGAGAGCAAGAATATTTACCTTGAGTATGAAGTCAAGATGACTAAGGACCTCTACGAAGATCTAGTAAACCAGTGGGAAGAAGCTACTAAATAAAATCAGACAACTTGAAGAAGAGAAAAGATGTCTCATCAATGACTATGAACATAAAATGGCTAACCTCTTGTTGAACAGTGAAGATGAGGTCGCCAAAATGAAGAAGAAGGTTATAAAACAACAGTCTCAGTTTCAGGATTGTAAGAGGAACTTGGTCCATGAACTGAAAGTTAGAGAAATATTGATAAATAGACATCAGAAGTATGGGGAAGTCCTCAAGACTGAGCTTGCAAATGCCAAAAATATAATAAAAGATCCTACAGCTTTAAAGAAAGCTACCAGAGATTTAAATTTCCAAAATCTGAAACTATACCCAATCAAGACCATAGAAGACGATCTAAGGACAAATAAAAGCGTTGAGAGGAAGAAGGTCTTCCAATCATTCGACTTATACAAAACCAAGACCAGTCAGCACTCTCGTAGTATCGAAAAGCACCCTACTAAATCATACCTCCTTCGCAAAGAACTCCAGGTAACCCCCAACCCCTTCCTCTCTAACTCCTCTCTAGTCCCGTTGCACCAACAAATCTCTCCAAAAGTTAATGGACAAGCACAGAGAGGTCGCCAACAGTACTGCTAGGGTAACTTTTCCTTCTAAAATTCCTTCTATTCGTCTAAATTCCGCCTCAAATTCTTCACTAAAATTTTGACTGTTGGCTGGGACACTGGTGATTTTTGGTCGTGAAGAATTGGGAAGTTGAGTTTAGCTGGGAATAGTGGAGGTGGGGTTTTGTGGTGAGGGGAATGGGGGATTTGGGGTGAAGGGATGGGGGATACATGAGGGGGTTGGGGCTAGAGGAGGGGATTTTGGGGGGATTGGAGTGGGCGGTGGTAGGATGGGCGGGCTTTAGAGAGTTATTTTTGTGAGATAGTTATGAAGATGGGAGGTTAGGAGTTTGGAAAGAATCTGGGTTAATCTCACTTATGCCCTCCATTGTTTGATGGCTGTCTTGGCTATCTGCCCTTCTTTCATAGTTATAGTGGATTCGTAAATAATTTTTGAAATTTCGAAACTCTTGCATCTTCACATAATCTAGAAGATGTATGGGGTTTTTGGCTCTATCATGGAGTTGGTAAAATTAATTCGTCAAATTTATGAAGCTAATTATTCCGAGTATAGACTATAATGACAGTGGTGGCTCCACAAGTGAAGACTCCAGATATGGATACTAGTGGTGAGAAGGGAAACAGGACTGACAGGATTTTTAGAATAAAGGTTAAGTAGGAATTCGATTCTAGCTTTAGTAGGGATTTAGGGGTTTTGGGGTTTTGGGGTTTTGGGGTTTTGGGG